CCCCCCTTTTTTTTAAAATTATTCGCTAACTTAGGGTACGCCCTTCGCCGTCGCACGCAGACGATCTGAGTTTCGATTTCCGGGTGGAGAGAATTCATATCGAGTATCTCGGTATTTCTGCTGGTCGTTGCCTCCCTGTAAGGCCAGGTTGACCCTGAAAGGCAGGGTCAAAACAAGCCGTCTAAATTGTCTAAATTATTGGACGAGAGCATAAAACACCTATATTTATTCTTTGATTTTTGTACGTGAGTTTGATGGCACACTTACAGAACAAAATCGATACGACAATTGGCTTCCCTTTTTAAAAGCTATTACGTACGTTTAGGAGGAAAACAGTAACTACGACATGTGTATTATAGAACTCAATGTGTCCTGTATGGGGAAATCTCAAGGCACGCAAAGCGTCGACAATGTATTAGCCCACCCAAAAAATGAGCACATCATGAAAAATTATTTGCTGATTCTTTGTGAAAAAGAGAATTACGATTTCAACACGTCATACAGACAATAAACGCCCTTCGCCTGTGGAGATGGGAACAGCGACATCCCCAGGCTCTTCCCTGAGCCTCGCTGGAACTTTAGTCTCTTCCCGCTGTTCTCCGTGGCCTGAGCTGACCCGATCAATACCAACAGGCTACAGACTCGTTAACGAGCGATAGCACAGCACTCTTTTGGGGTCCACGAATCTGTTAACTAGGGGCTCCACCCACTCTTTCGCGAGGGTTAACGTTTAGTAATGCAATGCGCTCGCTCTCTGAATTGCTATGAGTCAGCTGTACCAATCGCTCTTTGTCAGACCGCTAAACCAGCGGTTTTCTTGCCGATTGGCTAAGCCACGTAATAACAATGCGGTCTTGTGATGTTAATGAGAGCTGTATATACGGCAATTTGCAATAATGGGAGGGCCAATGAACGGTCCAATGATGATGTTATGTAATGGGAGAGGGGGCTGCTATTCGAGAGAGCAAATTACATAATTATGCTAGAGTACTCATGCTTTCAGCCTTACGTTTTAATTACTCCACGTTCCACAATTGCACAGGATTTGGTTGTTTTCTGTTCCTTCTTTTTTTTTTTTC